AGGTCCCTTCCGACCCTTAATCTATGAATCTATGAAAATATGTAAAATATGCTGCATTATATGCATAAATTATAATCCTGCATAGGCATTACACAGTTGTGGATAACAATGCAATAATACTATGTAGGTTTGTGTAAAGTGAGAATAAACATGAATGAAAAAAGTATTCAGTAAGGCAAAGCCTGTGTAATTTAGCCTTTTCTCATCTTTATTGACAAGTGAGGAAGTAAGCATTCTTGTACCTAGTATTTAATCATTTGTCTACAGCTGGTCAGAAAATCTTTGGTGGAGGAGTTTTCTATTGGAGGAAACCTGTCAAGATGTAAACTATAAAGTCATGCTTATTTCAATGAATGTTGTTCAGGAGAAAAAGATGGAGAAAGTGATTCTTACTATAAATTTAAATGTTTTGATATTTTCAGGAAAAAAAACTATTTTTGAGGGAGATCTCCAAAATATAGAAAGGTGGTCATGTACTAGGTAGTGTTGAGGTGATTTTGTTACTGTGAAGGTCCAGGAAATTTGTGAGGCAAGAATTAACATCTTTTATTGGACCAACTGTATGGTTGGAATAGGCCATGCAGTGGTCCAATAAAAGATACCACACACAAGAATTCTTGTCATATACTAGGCAGCTCTGAAAGAAACTGAGTTTGCAGGAGGATTACCCCACAAGCTGTTTTGTAAAAAAACAGTCTTGTTTATACAAACAGCGCACACAGACAGAACATTCTGAACTGCTGGGAGTGGCATCTGGAATAACTAGAGATGGGACTGAAAAGCAAAATTCAAAGCCAGACTTGGATCCAAACTTCTCCAAAGTTGGAGAGGAACAGAATTCAATATTCTAGAATAAATGCCAGAGTTGGTTCTGAGCCACAGAACTCTGATTCAGATCCCCAAAATTCAAGGAGTTACTGAATCGATGTTCTACTTTGGACCCATCTTTGCACCCTCAACCCTACTGACATGGTGAACCTACCCCATCCCAGCCCAGGACTGCACACTTATTGTGAGGACTTTTGATCTAACTGAAGATGCACAGAGTTATGAAATATATCCAAATACAATGAACTGCAGCTCTTCAAACAAAAGTCCTGTCCAAGATGCAACTGCATCCTGAATACATACATAGGAAACCACAAAACTGGCAACATCTTAGGGCAGTATAAACATTGAGCTAGAATTCAAAAGATAGAACAGCAAAACTTCAGAGAACATTGTGTCTCTGCAGCTGGAATGAAGAGTAAACCAAGTCCTGCTTGGCTTACCAAACGTTAAGAACAAGAGTAGGCATCAAACCATTCACAGGGTTTAGTGCCTGGTCTTGTTGGCATGAAAGTAGGAATTTTGCCAATTGTTTCAATAGGTGCAGTACCAAACATTCAGAGAAAGTGTAGGGGAGACTTCCAGTCTGGATCCAGGGAAGAGAGTATATTGTACTAAAGTGAACTGGAAGACTGCGTTCTATCACATTGTTAACAAGTGATAATATGACAGCTGGTATCTGAATATTTATACTACAGCAGAGATAAATGTACATCTATTAATCTGTTCTACTACTTTCCAAAGATTGAGACCAAAAATACATAAAGATTCCATCGTACAAGCTAGAAAAGCAAATGATACATTTTTCCTGCAGCCTTGAGAAGCTACAGAATCAATCTTCCTACCACAGCAGTCCTAATGAGCAATTTTTACCACTGCTGAACCACTAGGACATTACACATAGGGCATTTTGCAGCTCTGCAAAAGTTGGCTTTAGTGGCCATGTCCAGATGAGCACGGCCATTCATTACATCAGGGACAAGTGCCATTGCTACTGTCCCCAGGGAATACCTGTGCCATGTGTGGCCTACTGCATAGCAGGTTACCTTGGATGGGGTAGGAGAAGCTGGGGCCAGCAACTGTG